AATATGAACTGTGTGCGTACATATATAGCAATGTTACTGTTTTTTTTATAAAAAATATATTAAAATTATAAATATAACGAGCAAAATTTAACATAATAGCGCTCATAAATCTATGCATTTTGGCTCAGCTTGGCTTGACTCGGCCTGGAATCGGATGTTAAGCAAGGTATAGACTATATAAACTATTTTGAATTCTCCCCAATAAATGTGAAAAATAGACTATATAAACTATTTTGAATTCTCGCCAATAAATGTGAACTGCGAGCGTACATATATAGCAATGATTACTTTTGTTTTTATAATGAATTTATAAAATATATATAAATAACGAGCAAAATATTTACATAAATGGGTTTATAAATCTTTGCAAACTGGCTCAGTATATATCACTATATAAATATATATAAACAATAACACTATATAACTATATATAAATCTATATAACCATATATATTATTATATAATTATATATAATCAATAACACTATATAAATATATAGAAATTTATATAACCGTATATATCACTATATAACTATAGATAATCAATAACACTATAAAACTTTATGTAAATCTATAAAACCGTTTATAACACTATATAACTATATATAATCAATGACTCTACACAAGTTTATATAAGTTTATATAACCATATAATTATATCTATATAACTATAAAAAACAATAACACTGTATAAATATATTGAAATCTATATAACCGTATTTATCACTATATAACTATAAATAATCAATAATATTATATAACCTTATGTAAATCTATAAAACCATCTATAACACTATATAACTATAAATAATCAATTATTCTACACAACTATATACAAGTTTATATAACCATATATATCACTATATTACTTTATATAAACAATAACACTATATATCTATATATTATTCTATATAACCATATATATCACTATATAACAATAACTCTTTATAACTATATAAAATCTATATAACCTTAAAAATGACTATATAACTATATATAATCAATAACTTTACATATCTATATATAAATCCATATAACCGTATATAACACTAGATAACATTATATATTCGATAAATCTACAAAACTATATATAAGTCTATATAACCATATTTATCACTAGATAACAATATAAAACAAATAACACTATAGAAGTAAATATAATTTCATATAATCGTATATATTACTATTTGACTATATATAACCAATAACTCTACATAACCTAAATAAATCTAAGTTACCGTATATATCACGATAAAACTATATATAATCAATAATTCTACATATTTATATATAAATCTTTATAACAGTATATATCATTATATAACTATATATAATTAATTAATCTACTTAACTATATATGAATCTATATAACCGTAAATCACACTATCTAACTATATATAATCAGAAATTCTACATAAATAAATACAAGTCTATATAAGCGTATATATCACTATAAAACATTATATATTCAATAACTCTACATAACAGTAAATATCAATATATAACTATATACAACTAATTACTCTACATTACTATATATTAATTTATATAACCGTATATCTCACTCTATAACTATATATAATCAGAAATTCTACATAAATAAATACAAGTCTATAAAAACGTATATATCACTATAAAACTTTATATAATCAATAACTCTACATAACTTTAAATTTTAACATAAAAGCGCTTATAAATTTACGCATATTGGCTCAGGTTGGCTTGGCTCGACTTGGAATAGGATGTCAAGCAAGGTGTGGTCTCAAACTATTTTGAATTATCCCCAAAAAATTTGAACTGCGTGCGTACATATATAGCAATGATTACTGTTGTTTTTATAATGATTTTATAAAATATATAAATCTATGTAACCGTATATATCACTATATGACTATATATAATCAATAACTCTACATTATCATATATAAATCTTCATAACCGTATATATCACTATATAACTATATATAATCAAATACTCTACATAACTATTTATAATTCTATATAACCGTATATATCACTATATAACTATACTCAATCATTAACTCTACATAACTTTTTATAAATATATATAACCGTATATATCACTATATGACTATATTTAACCAATATCTCTACATAACTTTATTTAAATCTATATAACCTTATTTATAACTATATGACTATATATAATCAATAACTCTACATAACTATATATAAATCTATGTAACAGTATATATCACTATACATCTATATATACTCAATAACTCTAATTAACTATATATAAATGTATAAAACCGTATATATCACTATATAACTGTATATAATCAATAACATTTTATAACCTTATATAATTCTATATAACCGTATATAACACTATATAACTATATAATCATTATCTCTACACAACAATATATATAAGTTTATATAACCATATATGTCACTATATTACTATATATAAACAATAACACTATAAAATTTGAACTGCGTGCGTACATATATAGCAATGATTACTGTTGTTTTTATAATGATTTTATAAAATATATAAATATAATGAGCAAAATTTTAACATATAAGTGCTTATAAATCTATGCAAATTGGCTCAGTTTATATTACTATATAACTATTTATATTCAATAACTCTACATAACTATATATAAATCTATATAACCGTATATATCACTATATAACTATATATAATTAATAACTCTACATAACTATATATAAATCTAAATAACCGTATATATCACTATATGACTATATGACTAATATAGTTACCAATAACTCTACATATCTATATATAAACTATATAACCGTATATATCACTATATGACTATATATAATCAATAACTCTACATAAATATTTATAAATCTATATAACCGTATATAACACTATATAACTTCATATAATCAATAAGTCTACATAACTTTAAATAGGTCTACATAACCATATATATCACTATGTAACTATATATAATCAATAACACTAAATAACTATATAAATCTATGTAACCTTATATATCACTTTTTAACTATATATAATCAATAACACTATATAATTATATTTAAATCTATATAACCGTATATATCACTATATGACTAAATATAATCAATAACTCTACAAAACTATATATAAATCTATATAACCGTATATATCACTATATAACTATTTATAATCAATAACTCTACATAACTATATATAAGTCTATATAACCTTATATATCACTTTATAACTATATATAATCAAGAACTCTACATAACTATATTTATATTTATATAACCGTATATATTAATATATAACTATATATAATCAATAACACTGTATAATATATAAAAATTTATATAACCGTTTTTATCACTATATTACTATATATAATCAACAACACTATATAGCTAAGTATAAATCTATTTACGTCGGCCATACAGCCCGATATGCAAGGCAACTGAGCCTGAGATTTTGTATGGTGCATTTTCTAACTTAAAAAAACAGCGACTGATTCAATTTGACAACTCTCTTCACAGTTAATTACAGGCCGAAGCCCATCGCCACCGTAATGCGTATCGCACACCGGCTCTGTCTAAAGAGTTACTTTTTGCTGCTATAGGTCTCCGTTGTAATCAGAACATCATTAAACGTGAATCTGATAAATCGAACATGTATGTTGTGATGAATCGTGTCGAGTACAACAACCAAATCTATAATATTTTATCCGATACAACAAAATTTCGACGTATCACTAAAGACCCTACAACACATATTAAAACATCTGTCAATAAGTTAATCGCACAAGTGAATCTTAACTGAACGTCTGTAAAACTCACTCCAATCGTAGTCAAATACAGCCCTGGATACATCTACGGCAATGTTAAGACTCACAAACCAAATAATCCTCTTCGACCAATTATATCACAATGTCCCACTGCAACATATCAATTAGCGAAGGCGCTCAAATAACTTCTTGAGCCATATGTCTCTCGTACCTTTTCAGTCAAATCAAGCTTCGAATTTATCGAGATTATCAACGACAACAGAAGGTGCGTTGGTCATATGGCTTCGTTGGATGTTGAGAGCTTGTTCACTAACGTACCTATCGATTATACAATTGACATCATCTGCAAATACGTCTACAATCATCCAACACTTTCACAATTGGACATCCCTCCAAATTTATTGATCGAGCTTTTAAAGTCATGTACCGTTGAAAGTCCATTTTTCGCTCCCGACGGTTCACTGTACATACAGAGTGACGGTGTCGCTATGGGTTCACCGCTTGGTCCTCTGTTTGCTGAGTTTTACATGGCTGACCTAGAAGCTAAGATATTTTCCGACCCGACAAATAAACCGTTAGTATATGCTCGTTATGTCGACGATATCTTCATCATCTGTTCATCCGTTACTGATATTTACAACATACAAAATATTTTTCAAAATAACTCACATCTAAAGTTTACAATAGAATTTAGTACTGAAAAACGACTCGCATTCCTTGACTGCTTAATTGAGGAAAAAAAAGAGCAGTTAACTACTAGGGTTTATGTGAAACCCTCTAACTCAGGTCAAGTACTTAATAACACATCTGATCGTCCAGACCGATACAAAAACAACGTCATTTACAATTTAATCCATCGTGCATACAAAATATCCTCTGATATCAATATTTTTAGATCCGAATTAATTCGGATCAAACAATTTTTAATAAATAATAATTATTCGAATAAAACAATCGATTCTACAATCAAAAATTACTTGCAGAAAATAGATAATCCAATAACTCCAGTAATCTCAACAAAAAAGTTAATACCATTATATTACCTAAACCAGATGCACAACAACTACAAAATGGATGAAACACAAATTAAACGAATCATCAAATCAAACGTTTCGGTTTGTGAC